AACATTTTTTTGCTCTAAAACTTGATAACTTGTTTCAATCACTGTGTCTTGTTTATTTGTGTGAACATTGTCAGTTGCCTCTGAGATGCTGTGATGTCATTGTATTTGATTTAATCTATGATGGTATGTTGGTGTGTTCTTAGACAATTATCAGCTGCTTCCTGGTGGGTGTGATTAGAATGAAAGTATGTGCACAGTTCTCCAGTTACCATTCCTGCAGCCCAGTTTAGGGTGGATTTGGCTCGTTTTGGCTGCTATTATTGATCAGGTGGTATAGGAGCTGGTATTGGCTTGTGCCCAGTGGGTGGGGCTACTGAAGGTATGGTTTTGGCTGAGCTGTATGGGCATGATTGCTGTCCTCTGTTGAGTGGGACAAGAAGAGAAAACACACACAAGGGGAAAAAACAAAACAAGGGAAGAGAAAAATCAAGAGATGAAATAAAAGGAAAGGAAAAGCACTACATATGATGAGGGAGAGGGAAGAAGGAAAGGGAAAGAGACCAGAGAGTAGTAAAGAAAAACCATGAAGGAAAAAAAAAAAAAAAAGAGGCAAGAAGAGGAGGGAAGGGAAGAAGAAAAAACTAAAATGGTGGTAGTAAGGATTTAAAGCAAGAGAAGGGAAGAGAAGAAGACAGAATAAACAAACCACAAATAAAAGGAAAAAAAATCAGAACAGATAACAGACCCAGAGTGGGGAAAACTCTTTGGGACTTCTGCCAGCTAAGGAGCTCACATAGTGGTGAGTTGGGAGGGGATGGAGATGGTGGAGCTCTGGCCCTTGGTGGAGTTCCTACAGACTTAGGTGCTGTCTTATGTTCAGGGCACCTAATCTGGAAGTAGTTCAGGCAGGCCCTAAAGCTAGCGTTGATCAGTGTCATTCAGGCCCATAGCACACCAGAGGATTAGGATGATTGGCCAGGAACATTTCCACTAGTTCAGGGCTGAATGGGATGGCTTTGTAGGGTTGGATTAAAGCTCACTTGAATCTAGGTACTGGAGGTCATTTGGATAACAACCGATTCACAATGATGTGATTCACAACTACTTTGCTTTGATAGCCCAGAGGGCAGGAGCTGCACTGAGGTGGGTGAGGATAGAGGCTGACCGTGCCTCTGGTTACCAGGGAAGTGTGGGGACCAAGGAAAAATTACACCTTTCTTATCAATCCACCTGTATTTGTGCCACCTCCAGGCTGTCTGTTTCCAAACTCCCAAAGGTTCAAGATGGCCAATCCGCATCATCTGGTCAGCTAACACATTTCACTTATCTCCTTTTGTTTGCTGCACAAGTTTAGCAATCAATCCACTTCTCTATCCCATCCTCTGAAGCTCAGGATTACAGGACTATCATCTGCATCTGTCTCATTTGGTCTTCCATATCTTTGTGGGAATACTTGTGTGGCACTGTGGGTTAGTGCCCTGGACTGTGTTGTCAGTTTGAACCACAAGGTCGGCGGTTCACGCTCACGAACCGCTACTTGGAAACCCTATACAGGGTCGCTATGGTTTGGAACTGACTTGACTGCACTTAACAACAACAAATCTTTTTTTGCAGAGGATCTGAGTAGTGCATTTTCCTAGTCCAAAATCTTGCTGGAGGTCTGTGCTTTCTCATTAGAATTTACTAGATGGCACACTTTTGCAAATATATGTAAAATACATCTAGAGTGACTGTAATGCATTGTACAGATTATGAATTTTTCTTTCCATTGCACCTATTTTGCTAGCTATACCTTTTTTCAGGGAATGAGAGAACAATATGTTAAGAACCCAGATGCAAAACAGGAGTGTGGAATTACTAAATAAAATGGGCTTGTCTGAATTTTATTTATATTTCAAGTCAGTGAGCAAAATTTTATTGCGAGTTGTGATGTGTTTCTCATTCATCTATCAAATCTTGACCCTCTAGCTCTGGGTCTATCACTTATTCTTCCTTTACAGGCAAGCTCCTTCAAAGATTGCATTCACTGTCTTTTATTCCATTTATTCTTTTATCCATTATAGACTGGCTTCTGTTCCTTTCACTGTAGTAACATCCTAATTGTTTGTATTAATGTGCACAGCTCAGCCTTTCTATGTCAGGTGTCACTGAGAAGAGCATTTTGAAATGCTCTTCTCCCTTGGTTTTTGTGACAGTCCCTTCTCATTGTTTCCTCTTCTTATCTATCAAACTATTCCTCTGTTTCTTTCATGGACTCTTTCTTTTACTTTTGTTCATGTTTTAAATGTTCTTTTTCCCGGAATTCTGTTGTCTTGTGTATTGTCTTCTCATTCTTGATTTTTCACGTGGCAATTTTCCATCTATAGTTATGGTTCCATCCACCTTCCTTAAACTAATGATTGCCCAGTGTATATGTGGAGCTCAGCTTTTTTTCTGAGCACCACACCTGGAATTACATTTGTCATCTAAATTCATTGCCCTCAAACTTAGCATTGTACTACCTCTTTTAGTATTCAACTTAGTATATTTGCTTATATTGGTGCACCTTTTCATCTAATTGTATGAATTTCTAGTCAAAAGATTTGTCTTTAGTATCACTCAGATTTATCCTATTTTTCCTATCTCTTCTATAATACTTTTAGTTGAAACCATTATTCTTTCTCCAGAGACATTGTAACTATTCCCAGAGTGGCTATTCAGTTTCCAGAATTGATCTCTCTAGTCTCTTTCCTTATTTCCACCATACTGATGTTCCAAAATCCGGCATTTACATTTATTATTCCTTACCTTAAAATTGTTTAGATGTTTCTCATTACCAGCGATAGTTTTCAAAGACTTACTATAGATAGGCCAGCTGCTTTGGATCATTTAGAGGAATTTTGAAAAGCTTTTAATCTTGTATCTTTACCACAAATTCTGAATAAGTATGTTGTTGTTTTGTAAGGTCCAATCAGTTCCTACTCAGAGCAATGCTTTATAGGGTTTATACAAAGCAACTCTTGGGTTTGAACCACTGACCTTGCTGTTAGCAGTTTGTGCTTATCCTATAGCACCACACCCGGTCTCCTGAATATAGAGCTAAGGAATCTTTTCAAAGTTTCCCAGATGATTCTAATGAGCAACAGGATTGGAAAACAGTTTATGCATGTGGTTCAAATTCGTGGTCAGTTCAGGCCCTTCATGATCCAGTGCATTCATGGTTTTTCAGCACTATCTCACTCTGCTTTCCTTTCCTTTATTCTAGAGCTTCCAGCTGGTTCATTCTAGTTCACACTGAGAATTTGCTGTTTCCACCCTAGATATATGGAATCAGAATCTACATTTTAACAAGGTGGTTTTTATAGACCATATAGATTCTTAATGTCAAATGCCAACGAGTCGTTTCTGACTCATAGCAACCCTATGTAGGGTTTCCAAAGAGCGACTGGTGGGTTTGAAACACCAACCTTATGTTTAGCAGTCCAGTGCTTGTCCTACAACACCTTATAAATTATGTGTATATTTATATTTACATACATTGTTGCTGTTGTTGTTAAGTACCATGGAGTCACTTCCAACTCATAGTTACTCTGTACAGGGTTTCCGAGACTGTAAATCTTTATGGAAGCAGAAAGCCTCATGTTTCTCCCGTGGAACAGCTGGTAGTTTCGAACTGCTGATAGTGAGATTAGCAGCCTGATTCGTAACCACTACGCTACCAGAGCTCCTTATATACATATGCACATGTATATATATATAATATAGTATAATATAATATAACTTTATAACTTATATAGAGAAATAAAACCTGGAGTCCTGGTTAGGAAAAGCACTTGACCTGAAGGTCAAGCACTTAACTTAAAGGTCGGTATTAACCTCCAGGTAGGCACTTAACAACAACAAATAAAATCTGGGGATTTTGTGAAACTGTAGATTCTAATTAAGTATACCTATGGTGGAAATGCAAAATCTCAGCAGGGGTTCAAACTGGAATGAACTAAAGCCATACTTCATTCACTGTCCACGAGCTTCTTTGGCCCTGAAACCTACTACCCTATATCTTCTTTTGAGGATTTGGCTTTTGTTTGATCAGGGGAAAAACCCAACCCCTGTTAGTCGATTCCAACTCTAGGCATCCTCTAGGAAAGAGTAGAACTGCCCCTAGGGTTTCCAAGGCTGTAAATCATACGGAATCTCACTGCCACAGCCACAGCTTTCTCCCGAGTGACTGGAGGGTTCAAACTACCTGACCTTTTGGTCAACAGCTAAGCACTTTAACTACTGTGTCACTTTGAATCAGGGCAGGATCTAGATTTCTGCTTGCTACACTTCTGCTCCCTTCTATAATCCACCCAGCACATTTTTGGATTTTATGCATGTAATTCGAACTGACTCGACAGCACTTAACAACAACAACAATGCATGTAATTCATGGTGAAAGCCACTGAGCTAATTCAAATCAATGAAGTCCCAAAATATTAAGTGACTTGCCCAAGTCATAAAATGGCTTGGATGGCAGAATATTTCTAAAATTCAAGTGATATATTCCTAATGTAGTTTTTGAGAGGAGCCCTCGTAGCATAGTGGATTGTGAGCTGGGCTGCTAACTAGAAGATTAGCAGTTTGAATCAAACAGTCACTCTATGGGACAAAATTGAGGCTGTCTGCTCCCGTGAAGATTTACAGTCTTAGAAACTCTATACAGGGTTGCTATGAGTTGAAACTGACTCAATGGCACACAACCATCAGTATCGACATAGTGCTTATTTATTGTGCTTTTGTATGGACAGTTATCTTGGCAGGTTTATTTCCTTTGAATCCTTTCTTCCTAAATAAATTATCATTATTTTATTCCCTCATTCATTTATTCATTTGTTTGTTCATTCAATAAATATTTATTTAATTGTGCAAGAAACAATACAAGGCCTGGGGTAGATGAGCAGAAATTTCCTGTCTTAAAGATTTTCAAGACAGACCCTTATTATTCAGTCATAAAATACTATACAGAAAAATAAATTCGTAATTTTTCAGAAGAAAAACCACAGTGTAATATTTTCCACTCTCTCTTTCTTTTTATCCAGGGAAAGACCATGTTTGTAGATTTATTGGCTGTGGGAGGAATGATCGATTCAACTATGTGGTCATGCAATTGCAGGTAGGTTACCTTGAAAATGTATCTTAACTTTCTTTTTTGGTGATTCAAGTATTACTATCTGCTTTAAAATTTTACAGGAGCAACCCTATGTCTTTTGAGGAAATCTTGACTATTATCATTAAAATGGATCTTAAAAATATAGTATCTTCTTAAAAAAAAAAAGTATCTTCTAGAGTTCACACAACTGTAGATTTCTTTAAATTTTACTAGCATGACTGTGGCAGGTTCTCATTTAACACATCATCATCTTTAGTATAGCCAAAGAATGATTGGGGTCCATGTTTTAGCAGTGTATATTTTGAGGGGCAAAACATTTCTTTGAATTCTGTAGTCAGTAGAAATTTAGATCTAGATTGCCTAACATAAGAGGAGCAGATTTTTTAAAAAACATTTTATTATTATTGGAAAAGTTAAGAGTTTAAACTTGTTCAAAATTAGAATCATAATAAACATCCTCAGACTTATCACCCAGCCTCAGCTTCAATAATTAGCAAAACATGGGGGAATTAAAAATTATGGAAACTGCTGAGTCTCAGCCCATGTGGGCCCTTGGGAGGAAATGTCATTCCAGAGAAAACCCACTATCCCCTGGGAAATTAGATGAATACTTCAGATGTTATTTCTCTTATTCCTTCTTCACCAGCTCTCCCTCCCTAGCTGTGAGAAGGCCAAGAGAGAAGTAAATAAATGCTATGGAAACTTCCTCCTAAGAACCTTATTCCCAACACAAGTAACAAGTGGTGCCAGGGCTTTTTCAAGGGGGCCCAGAAAAGTAGTGACCTTAATCAGGATCTTAAACAGAGTGGGAATTCGTCAATTAAATTGAACTTCCCTGCTTATCCCACTTTTCTTCCTTTACCACCTGTACTACATCTCCCTCTGGATTGATCCCTAATCATTCTGATAATGGAACAAACTTCCATTACTTCAGGTAGAATTGTCATATGAAAACAAGCATATATATATATATATATATCCCCCAAGAAAACCACTAAATTAAATAATTATTTTAAGAAAAAAATCAGTTTGTGGAAAAATGGAATTAAAAATGAAAAATTTTTCACAAACTTTTTGGTATGTTCAGTCTTGTTTCAATTATAGCCTACTACACTGCCCACCAGCTTTCACACCATCCAGATTATTGTAAAGCAAATCCCAGGCACAGGACTCTCTTTTTCCTTCATTATATGTGTCTCTTTTCTCTGTGTTTTGTTTTTATTTTTTTAAAAGCAGTTGATTTCTTTGAATCAGTTTCCAGATAGGCTTCACACATTACATTTGGTGAATTTTAAACTTCTGTTAATCTATAGCATCATCGTCTCCACCCTCTCCCTTTTATTTTCTTGCAGTTTTGTTGTTCTTATTGTCATTGAAAAAAATGCAGAAATTCCATATTGTAGATTTTGTTCTGGTGGTGTTTTTGACAAGTTATGTCTTCTGTATTTTCTGTAAACTGATCATTAAATCTAGATACTATTGTTCTTGTTAAGTGCTGTCATTCCCACCCTGTATAGGGTTTCTGAGGAGCAACTGGTGGGTTTGAATTGTTGACCTTGTGGTTTGCAGTCCAGTGCTGATCCTATAGCACCTTACCAGGAGTACAGGCTGATACTGGTTTTATTTTATTTGACAAGAATACTTCAGAGATTAGTTGTGTACTTTCTATTTCATCACATCAGGAGACAGTATCTTGTCTGTGTGATTGTCTCTCTCAGAGATGTTAAGATTTGATGAGTGGGCTCAAGGACTAGGAGCTTTTCCCGTTTATTTTCAGTTTCCTTGTTAATTTTTTCGCCGAATGTTTTTATCAGCCCATTTAGTAATCATTGCCTAGATTCATTATTTCATTGTGGATTGCAAATGTACTATCTATCATTTCTTCTTCATTTATTAGCTGGAATTCTTCTCTAAAAAGCATTCCTTCAACTAATGGGTAGTCTTAAGGGACACTTCATATAGGAGAGATAGGATTAATACTTGATTCTCGTATTTACTAGTTTTCAGAATATTGAGTTGGTTCCATAGTATTTCCCAAAGGACATTAGTGAGCTCTCTGGTTCTTTGAAAAAATTAAAATTATGAACTCAGGGATTTAACACAGCTGATGATCTCCAGGCATTACAATTATTATTTTTTTTAAAATGCTCAAATTGTTTAGTCTTGAGTCGTTTTGAGTGGGTTAGACTTCAGCAGTATTTGGAAGCATTCTTACTCTCTGGTGTAATGCTATGTGACAGGCTCATTCTGTCATTGCTTCTCTGGGTAGGGTCCCACACTACGCTCTTCTCCCTTGATGGTCCCAGGGACCTCTGCTCCTGGACTGCAAAGTCAACCACTCCCCTCCTTGTACTACAAAACGTCTACCTTTACATTTCCAACTCACACAGTCAGTCCTGATAGCAATTATTCACTATTGTACCACGAGTCCTATCCCCATTTCCTTTTCATCAGCTCCTACCAGACAGACTGGTTACTACTCAGTGGAGATTCTACCTTCCTCTGCACCCTCTGCATCTAAGCTCCCTCTTGAAAGCTTATAAGCCAGGCATTTCTTGCCTTTGTAGCCCCCCTATTTTGGGTAGCCAATGTCCAAGTTGCCCATCTCTGTTTACACTGTGTATGGAGGCGGTGGGAATGATCCTCGCTGTAAAGATTTGTTCCCTCTTTTGAGCTACTGTACCCATAGGTGTGATGATCAAATTGTATCAGATTACTCTTTTTTTCTTCTTTTTCTAGTTGAGCTCTGCTCATCCAGCCATTGAAGTCAGGTCAAGTGGGTATTATCTGCAAGTGTGAGTGTTCTTGTATATATGCCCTCACTTCTTATCAGCTGAACACTTCATTGAAGAAGATTTGTATGGTGTTGGCATTTGCTAGTTATGGTAATATCTCTACTTGGGGAAGGTTCTGTATCCTCTAGATTATCACAGAGAATGGAGATGAAATTTCTAGTCAGAAAAAATAGAATTGTGTATATGGTTCTTTTTTTCTTCATATATTTCACAGTAATAGCTCATTTGCTTACCGAATCTGTCTGTTGATATAGCAAAACAATCGGCATTTAGGTCCATATTTTCAAGCAGTTGAAAATATGGATTTAGTTTTTAAATCTATTTGGTAGTTATTTGAACAGTAAATCATAAAATTGAACATCTTCAGGTGAACATCTGCAAATTACAAACTGCAATATTGTATGTAGTACTTATCACTGAGGATAAAATGTGCAAAAAAAAGGCAGTTATAAATGCAAGTCATCATAACTTTAATACTTTGTAAGTCGGGGACTACCTGTGTATGTAAAAAGCTTTCATTGTTTTAATGGCTACAGATAAGTTAGTAAGGTGACTAACTATACCTTCATTTATGGGTGCACATAAAGATTGTTTTCAATTTTTCTATAACATATAATGACCATTTGTACTATTTAGTTTTAAATATAATTGGTAGGTCAAACCTCTGTGTATTTATAATGTCAATCAGTCTTTTCCCCATATTCTTCCCAGCCTTCTATCTAGCTTCTCAGACTTTGTTAATTAATATCTTAGATTTACACTTTAAAGATCTAACTCCCTTAAATCATTGCTAACATAAGTCCCAGTGGAATGTCTTTCCTTTTGAAAAGTTTTGTGATGGTGCATATTGTTTAAAAATAAAGTCCCATTATTACTTTAGGAATATTCTTAGTGATCAAAACATTTATTTTTAGAAAACAATTGGTGGAATGCTAATAAAGTCATTAAACTCTCTCAAGGGATTATACCATCCTTTATTCTAGATTGTCAAACATTTTGCATTTGTAATGACTCCTGCCTTGCTGAGTAAGGCAGACAAGTTTGCCTGATATTTAAAAAACACAAACCAAAACTACCAGTCAACATATACTGTGGGGAAACTTTGTTTTTAAAGAAGGTAGAAAGTATGAAAGGCTCCTGACATTCTTGGAATTTTCAAATGACTTTCGGGTATTACTTAGTGTCTCATTTTGAATAGTATGTAATAATCTAAAATTGTAATAGTTTTTCAAAAGTGAATCAACTGTTTTTAGTTGAAGTGTTGGTGTTGGTATCAGTAGCCTCAAACATACTAATGAATTTAGGGAATAAAAAGAGTGAGCTATTGAAATCCTCTTGTGATAGGGAAGCAGCCACGCCTCACTTTTGGGAGTTAGAGTTGCAAGGTTGCAGCCCTGTTCTCCTCTTCACCTTACTGGTTTGTTACTGCAAAAACTTTGAGGGAGCCATGTCTGACTTCCCCTGGCTTCACAAGAGAAAAAGAGAATCCAGTGTGCAAAATTCTATGGATTCCTACAACCTTCTTTACCCTGTTCTGATACCAACCATACCTCCCACAGCACTCTCTGCTTCATATCTGGGTTTGATAATCCATTTCAATGGCCACACAGAACTCATAGCAATACTCATGATTATGGGGTTTATTAGGGCAGGATTAAAATTATTCAGGACGCAGCAGTTCTCCAGTCAGGAACACCTCTTGTCTTCTATATTGCAGACATGCCTTACTATTGTTTTTGGCCTCTCAGCCAGGAGTTCCCTTGGCCTCTGCCATGCTGGAGCTTGCATTACACAGTTCTTTCAGCCAGTCTGTGAATGTCCAAAGGCACATTCTTCAAGCCAGTCTCTTTCCTATAGGCACTCAGCTTTACTCATTCCATAGGCATAGAACCCAAAGCTGCTCTGTCTCTCCATGCTACCACTTCTGCTGTGGCCTCTTGTCATCTCATGCTCAAGTCTTGCTCTTCCTTCTTAATGTTATCATCTGTATCTGCTTCTGAGATAGTTCATTTTACCTAGCTGGAGGGCAAAACTAATCAGTCCCAGCTTTTGAGTCCTGTATACTTTATTTGAATGGTCCCACCCGATCACTTGTATCATCTGCATATCGTAGGTTGTTAATGAGTTTTCCTACAATCCTGATGCCATGTTTTTCTTCACAGAACCCAGCTTCTCAGATTATTAGCTTAGCATACAGGTTGAATAAGTATGGTAAAAGAATACAACCTTGTCACATGCCTTTCTTAATTTCAAACCATTCAGTGTTCCCATGTTCTGTTTGAACAACTGCCTCTTGGTCCAGGTATTGATTCCTCATGAGCACAAGTAAGTGTTCCAGAATATTCATACTTCGCAATGTTGTCCATAGCTTGTCATGATCCACACAATCAAAAGTAGTCAATAAAGCACAGATAAACATCTTTCTGATATTTTCTTCATTCAGCCAAGATCCATTGGACATCAGCACTGATATCCCTTGTTTCACAGCCTCTTCTGAATCCGACTTGAACCTCTGGAAGTTCTCTGTCAATGTATGCTTGCAGCCATTTCTGTATTACCTTTAGTAAAACTTTACTCACATGGGATATCAAAGAGATTGTCCGATGATTTCCACATTACATTGGAATGGGCACAAATACGGATCTCTTCCAATCAGTCGACCAGATAGTTGTCTTCCAAATATCTTGGCAGAGATGAGTGAGTGCTTCCTGTGCCGCCTCACTTTCTTGAAAGATTTCCATTTTTATTCCATCAGTCCCTGGTGCCTTGTTCTTTGCCAGTTCCTTCAATGCACCTTGGACTTCCTCCTTCAGTATCATTGGCTCTTGATCATATGCTACCTCTTGAAACGGTTGAACATTAACCATTTCCTTTTGGTATAACATTGCTTGCTGAAAGTGAAGAGGACTAAAAACATTTACTGATGAAGATCAAAGAGCACAGCCTTTGGTATGGGTTAACATCTCAATGTAAAGAAAACAAAAATCCTCACCACTGGACCAATAAACAACATTTTTAACAACGGAAAAAAGATTGAAGTTGTCAAGGTCTTCATTCTTCTTGGATCAACTATCAACACTCAAGAAAGCAGCAGTCAAGAAATCAAACGATGTGTTGCATTAGGCAAATCTGCTGCACAAGACCTTTTTAAAGTGTTGAAGAGCAAAGATGTCAGCTTGAAGACTAAGGTGCACCTGACCCAAGCCATGGTATTTTCAATAACCTCATATGCAAGCGAAAGCTTGACAGTGAATAAGGAAGACCGTAGAAGAATTGATGCTTTTGAGTTATGTTGTTGGAGGAGAATATTCAAAGTGTCATGGGCTGCCAAAAGAACCAACAGATCTGTGTTGGAAGAAGTGCAGCCAGAGTGCTCCTTGAAGGCCAAGATGGCGAAACTTTGTCTCTCATACTTCAGAAATATTGTCAGGAGGGACCAGTCACTGGAGAAGGACATCATGTTTGGGAAGGTGGAGGGTCAGAGAAAAAGAGGAAGACCCCCAACAGGGATGGATTTGGCCAAGTAGCATCGATGGACTCAAGAGTGGCAGCAGTGGTGAGGTTGGCCCAGAATCGGTAGTGTTTCGTTCTGCTGTGCATAAGGTTGCTATGAGTCAGTACCGACTCGATGGCACCTAACAACAACAACAACCCAATCACTTTGTGGGAATAAAGAAAACTTTGTATGGAAAAGCCACATCAAGTGAATTCAAGGCACCAGAGTTACCTAGGCAGCAAGGAAACCAAAGCAAACACTTAGGTTTGAAGAACAGTTTTTCCTTAAACAGGTTAAATATTTAACCTTTCTGAGCTTCTGTTTCTTTATTTGGTATACAGTAATAACTGTCTCTATTTAAAGTGCTATGAGAATTAAGCACAATCAATATATCATACATCTGGCACAAGCTAGATACTGCAAACCACAAGGTCAGTGGTTTGAGCCCACTAACCACTCCTCTGGAGAAACATGAGGCTTTTTGTTCCCGTAAAGATTTATAACCTGGAAACTCTATACAGAGTTGCTATGAGCCAGAATTGACTGGACACCACCTAACAACAATAGCAACATCAAGGAACTTTGGTGGTGTTGTGGGTTAAGTTGACTTCCAACTCAAAGGTCTATGGTTCAAACCCACCAGCTGCTCTGAGAGAGAAGGGTGGGTTACAGTCTGCTTTCATAAAGATTGCAGGCTTGGAAACCGTAAGGGGCAATTCTGTATCCTATAAGAGTGCTGTGACTAGTGTGAGTCGGAATCAACCTGATGACAATAGGTACTTCTTTGATACAGAAATAGTTAGCAATTGGTGAGTGCCTATTTCAAGTTTGGTTTGAACTATAAGGTTGGTCGTTCAAACCTACTAGCCACTGCTGAGAAACCCTATACAGGGTCCGTATGAGTCAGTACCCACTATGAGCTGAACAGATTTCTAAATATTTTGCAAAGACTTTTTTATTTGTCTGAAACATTGACATCATTATTTTAAGGGACTCTATTCTCTTGACTGAGAGGATCACCATTTGGACAAAACCTTTGCTGTTTAAAAGTATTACTCTAATGGTAAATGAATAATTTCCCAGCCTTCTAATATACATTTCGGTACTATGATTGAATTCTTTTTCCCCACAGGGTCGTAATCTGGCGGATCTACGCCGCAGTCAGTCCCGGGGCACATTCACTATTAGCACTACTCTTCGACTGGGCAAACAGATTCTAGAATCTATTGAAAGCATTCATTCTGTGGGATTCTTACACCGAGACATCAAACCGGTAGGACCTTTTCCAGGCCACAGAAGGAGTTCATTAGGTCCTCTTAATATTATGACAAATGTAGTTTTCTGTATTTTCGATGACTAAATTCAAGGTAATATTTTTATTTCTTTTGAGGTAATATTTTTATTTCTTAATTTGTCTTTTTTTTTTTTGAAGTGATAATTACGAACTGAAACATATTTTTTCTCATTTATTTACTTTTTATTGTGAATTGAGTGAAGGTTTACATTCAACAAATCACACACTTTCACAATGTATTTATAAGACCTTTTCTCATACTTTGAAAATGTTGCTCAGCATCAAATTAGAAATAATTAACACTGGTAATTCTTGCATAGCTTTAAACCTAAGTTGGTTGCTATTCTTTGAATTCCCTCTTCCTCATGGTGATGGATGGTGGTGTGCCTTGGTGTTGGTTCTGACCCACAGCAACCCTGCATAGGGTTTCAGAGGCTGTAAATCTTTATGGGAGCAGAAAGCCTCTTCTTACCCCCATGGAACAGCTGGTAATCTCGAACTGTTGACCTTGAGGTTATCAACCCAACTCGTAATCACTACGCAACCAGAGCTCCTTCTTTTCCTGATAGTAGTTTTAAAAAAAAATCTATATATGTTTACATTTCTAGATTACAATTAGATGCTGACATTGCATTCTTGGGACTTTGTAACATGACAAATTGTACTTTAAAGAAATTATCAATTGTAAAAGATCTTTTTTTGTCTTCTTCTGAGTGATATAGGAATTTTTCTATTCTGTTTTTCTTAGAAATTATTATTTCCACAACTATGATAATCTGTCTTTATTTTGTTGCTGTTGTTTTATATCTCACAATAGGAAATGACCCATTTTTGATATGCTATTTCCCCCAAAACCACCCCACTGCTGTTGAGTTTATTTAATCCATAGCAGCCCCATAGGAAAAAGTGGAACTGCCCAGTGCTTAAACCACTGTACCACTAGGACCATTTATGATATTCTGTATTTATTATAAATTTATCATATGTTCGTACAGTTGAAAATTAGAGCCATATGTAGCTACATTATTTCTAAAATTGTTTACATTAAAATGTCAACTAAAATTAACATGCTAGAACCAGATTTAATGTAATATAGAATTTCTCCTATTCTTCTCTTATATGAAAGTGCCAATTTTTGAAATTTCCATTTTCATAGCATAGTGTTACGAGTCGGGCTGATGACTTCAGGGTCAGCAGTTCAAAACTACCAGCTGTTCCACACGAGAAAGATGAGACTTATTGTTCTCGTAAAGATTTACAGCCTGAAAAACCCCATACATGGTCACTATGAGTCAGAACTGACTCAGTGGCACAAAACCACCACACCACCATCCCTAATTAAAGCAGTATTTTAAGGTAAAAGTGAACAATTCTGTAACAAATTAGCTTTTGCCTTTATAAATTTCCCAGCTTGCATACTCGTTCTTTTAAGTTTGTAGTAATTTAGTGTTATATTTATGTATGTTAAGAGAAGTATATTTTGGTTAAGTATGTTAACATTTCTTTGTATTTTAATGTTTTATATTTGTGAAATTCAGTTTTATGTTGTTTACTGGGAAAAATCTTAAATTTCTGAGCTGTGTATTTGTTTTTACCCATCTGTAATGGTTACAAGTTAGGCTGCTAACCTCACAGTCAGCAGTTCGAAACTACCAGCAGTTCCGCAGGAGAAAGATGAGGCTCTCTGATCCCATAAAGATTTACAGCCTCAGAAACCCTGTTCAAGGTAGCTATGAGTCGGAACCGACTCCATGGCACTTAACAACAATTCCTGACTTAGTTGAGAACTTTAAGGCACTTGTAATGTTCTGATTGTAATTAAATCAATGTTGTGTTTAAGAGAGTTTATATATACTCTTAAATCCTTGCTCAGTTTTCTCTATAAAAATGATGATAATTAGACCAACTGCTTTTCAAATAACTAGTAGTTGTTTTTAAATTTAATAAGAGGATATAGAGGTACTTTAATTTTGAGGGAAAAAAGAAGCTGTATAAATGTAATTGAGTAAAGTTTTTGTTTTTGTTTTTTTTTTACATTCACCTAATCCTAAGTATTAAGGAGCTCTGGTAGCGTAGTGGTTACAGATTGGGCTACTAACCTCAAGGTCGGCAGTTCGAAACTACTAGCTGTTCTGTGGGAGAGAGATGAGGCTTTCTGGTCCCGTAAAGATTTACAGCCTCAGAAACCCTGTGCAGGGTCACTATGAGTTGGAACCGACCACGTGGAACCGACTCCATGGTACTTAACAACAACAACAATCCTAAGTATTAATAAACTGCCACACACACACACAAACACAAACAAACCCTTTGCCTTCAAGTTAATTTGTCTTACAGAACAGAACTTCCTCCTTAGAATATCCAAAGCTATAGTCTTTAAGAAACAGAGTGCCACATCTTTTTCCATTGAGCAGCTGGTGGGTTCAAACCTCTGACCTTTCAGTTAGCAACTTAGTGCTTAACCATTGCACCATTCGGACTTTTAGACATCATTGGTGGTTGGTGGTGGTTATGTGCTGTGGAGTCAGTTCCAACTCATAGCAACTATGTATAGGGTTTCCAAGGTTATAAATCTTTACGGGAGAAGAAAGCCTCATCTTTCTCCCATGGAACAGCTGGTAGTTACGAACTGCTGACCTTGAGAGTAGCAGCCTGACTCATAAACACTATGCTACCAGAGCTCCTTGGACATTAATAGAACCCATAATTTAATTATGTATTAATTAATTTATTATCTCAGGCATTAATAGAACTCAGAAATTAATTATGTATTAATATCTAGTAAGCATCAAAGTTTGGAACAGTCTATTTTAAATTATGAAATAGAATTTTAATACAAGAATTAAATCTAGAAGGGGTAATATATAAGGACTGAGTTTTATAAGAATATGTATTTTTTGTTCTTTATTTTTCTAGTCGAACTTTGCTATGGGTCGCTTTCCTAGTACATGTAGGAAATGTTATATGCTTGATTTTGGCTTGGCTCGACAATTTACCAATTCCTGTGGTGACGTCAGACCAGTAAGTTTTTCTTTTTATTAATACTTTAGAGTTAATCTGTTATTAATAGTATCACTTTTAAGAAATGCTAGTATCAAGATGGCTTTCATCCAAGAAGTTGCATATGGAGTCTGTGTTATTATAGAATTAAGTTAATGAATTTTATTCTTTAAAGTGACATTCAAAAAAGAACATTCGAAGCAGATGTAGAGTGGCCTTGTAAAAGGAGACACACTAGCCCTTTGTGATAAGGAAACTTTATACAGTCTGAGGCCCTTTCTGCATGCTACAATTTTTCTGTTTTACTTATTACTTGTAGTTTTGTTTTAATTTGGTTTCTGATTATGATTTTCATTGCTACCAGGTAAGTTGACAAAAGTTCAAATACTTTTAATGAGATAATTGCAGGGTTGCTATGGGTCTATACTGACTAGAAGGCACTTAACAACAACAACATGTTGGAATTGGGTAGAAAATGTAAGATGATTATATATTAGTGCTGTAAAGTGCTGTCGAATCAGTTCTGACTTATAGTGACCCTGTATAGGTGTTTCTAAGGAGCAGCTGATGGGTTTGGATTGCCGACCTTATGGTTCACAGTCTAGTGCTGATCTACAGCCACACCAGAAATCAAATACAAATATAAACTAAGTTTAAAATATAAATAGCCACATAAGCATTTGAGTGCCTAGAAACTATAGGAGAGACTCTGGTTCTAGTGATATTCTTATAATAATTGGTAGCCAAATAAGTAAAGAACTCAGTTTCTATATCATTTACTTGATTTGAATGTATTTCTGGAGTCCCATTTCTGTTCCAAATATCTATTTTTCAGTTTAGAGAACATAATTTTTTTTAAAAAGCACTCTTGACTACCATGTGAAGAAAGAGACCTTTGAGAACATGAGTGGAATCAGAAAGAAAAGGTAGAGGGCTAATGTCATGGTTACTTGACTCTAGGGTATTAGGCTGGTACAGTGATGGTGGTAAGAAGTGGTGATATTTTAGGATATATTTTTTAAATGGGATTCAACAAGACATGTTATTGCAGCAAATGTGGGATGGGAAGGAAAAAGAGGACTCAAAGAATGATTTCTAGGTTTTTGTCCATTATAAATAGTCATGCTAATAACCATAATAAAGAAAAGCCTCTTTTCTACAAGTTAAGTTTGGGATACTTCTTGGAAATAAAAAGCTGGTTAATATTCTACTCTGGAACTCAACAGAGAAATTGGGACTGAAGGGAGATATTATGAATTTGGTAGTCATATGCTTATAAGGAGCTCTGGTAGCGTAGTGGTTACAAATCAGGCTGCAAGCCGCAAGGTCAGCAGTTGGAAACTACCAGCGGTTCCGCGGGAGAAAGATGAGGCGGTCTGCTCCCGTAAAGATTTACAGCCTCGGAAACCCTGTGTAGGGTCGCTATGAGTCGGAACCGACTCCACGGCACATCACAACAACAACAACAACATGCTTATAAATGGCATTTAAAAACAAATGGAATTGCATGAGATTACCTAGGAAAAACAGTACATGAAAAGAGGTCCTGAATCTGAGCAACTTGATGAAGGATGTTGTTGTTGTTTAGTGTCGTTGAGTCAGTTCGGTCTCATGGCGACCTTGTATAGGGTTTCTGAGGAGTAACTGGTGAATTTGACAAAGATTATGAATCAGACAAGAAGAGTGAAAAGGAAGAACAGACAGTGAAGTATGGGGAAAATCTGAAAAGTGATATTTTGTAAGCCAGAATGAAGAAAGTGCTTCAAGAAAGGTGTCAAGATTATCGACTGTGTCACAAGCTGCTGAGCAGTCAAGTAAAGTGGGAACTAAAAAATGACTGTTTGGATTTCGCAAGATGGAAACTATTTGGTGACTTTTATAAAGTAGTTCAGTGAAACAATGAAGACCTGATTGGAATGGGTTAAAAGAAGAGTCAGAAGAAGAAGTGGGGAAAGGGAGCATGGGCAGCTCTCTCTAGCAATTTTATTTACCCTGAAGAGGGGTTGTGCTGAAATGGGAAGTTGTTAAAGTGGAAGAAAAATATTTCTTTCTCCTTTCTTCCTTCTCTCACTCCTTTTCACTCTGTTCTCCTTCCTTCTTGCCTCCTTCACCACTTTCCTCCTCGTCTCTCTGCCCCTCCCCCCTTTTTTAATGGCAGTTGTTAATGGCATACTTGTGACCTGATAGTTAATGGTCCAGGAGAAATGAAAAATTGATGCTGTAGGGGAGACAGTAGCAATAATAGGAGCCAACTTAACTGTATAGCTGACAAGGAAAGGAATCCAGGGTACAAATGAAGAGGTTAGTTTAATGGATTAGAGCGGGAACACTTCTTCAGTCAAAACTAAGAAAGGCAGAATATCTAGTTACAGATACAGGAAGACATTGAGATTTGGTAGTGGAAAGTTGAGAAAGGTCTATATGGTTTCTGTTTTCTTGGAGAAAAAAAGACAAGACAAGGTATTTTGCTGAGAGTAGAGAGTGGTGTTGGCAAGGAGAGGACATAGGGATACTTACCTGAGTGAGGAGAATTATAAATTAACTAGAGAAATAGAATAGAATTACTGGGCTGAAAGCTTGAGTATTATGGTAATTTAAAATAAGATTGTTAGTATAGTTATGTGTTTTCTTCAGCTGTCTTTAACTGCTTCTTTAAATGTACAATTTATTTAGTATAGGAATTCTGTTTACCTTGGATTGGGGTCAGTTGAACACTGTGGAGGAGAGAGGAAAGGGGGTTGAAATCCTATGTAAAAGAATGATATTGTGGTAAATCATAGCCAAAGTGATATAAGGAGTATACTTTCCCTTTACTGATGTATTAATAGCTAGTTTCTTAACTAAATCTCAAATAAATTTCATAGTTTTTGGTCATGATTATGATTTAAAACTGGCACTGCAGGTTAATGCACTGGACTATAAAGTTGGTTTGAACTGCAAGGTCAGCAGTTCAAGTTTACCAGTCACTCCCCGGAAACCCTGTACAGGGTCACTGTGAGTCGGAACCACCTTGATTGCATTTAACAACAACAGCAACATATATATTCTAGAAGAATAATGTCATTTGTAAGTGCCATCAGTCAATTCCAACTCAAAGTGACCCTGTAGTAACAACAAAAAATACTAAAGAAAAATAATAAAACTCACGTTGGTAACTCCCTCCCTCACACAGGTTAAGAAAAGGAACATTATGAATACTTTATAATCCCACCTGTCCTTTTTTGAATGCATCCTTTTCTACCTCTAGCAGCACTGTAATGAAATTTATCATGATAATGGGAATTTTCTTCATCTGTGCTCTCTAATATAGTAGCCATTAGCTACATGTGGCTGTTGAGCACTTGAATTGTGGCTACAGCAGGTGAGAAACTGAGTTTTTTATTTCATTAAATCTTAATTAATTTACATTTAAATAGTAAAATGTGGCTGCTGCTGGTTGTATGCCTCCTCTGAGTTGATTTTGACTCTTAGCAATCCTATATAGGGTTTTCAAGACTATAAATCCTAATCTTTCTTCCTTGGAGTAACTGTTAGATTTGAACTACTGAACTTGTGGTTAGCAGCCTAGTTTGTAATCTGTTACACTACCAGGGCTATTATACTAGTTATTGCAACCCTAGAGGTAACCTTCATTCTAAATTTTTCATTATTTGTCCCTTGCATGTTCTAAGAGTTGTCTAGACAGGTTTCATGTTCAGTTTATGCCCCTAAACTTAACCCCCTCTGCCTTTCCTTTTTTTCCAGTCCCTCCCACATTTCTTTCCTTGTGTATTTAAAAATTTTTAAATTTATTTTGCTGTTATCAAAAATATACACAGCACACACTAATTCAACAGTTCCTACATGTATCATTAGTAATACTGATGGATTCTTTAAGTTGAGCAAGCATTCTTAACCTCCTTTTTATGACTTCTTCCTTTCCCATTAATATAAATTTAAAGCTCCACTCCCTAGTTTCCTATTTAATCTTTCAAGTTGCTGTTGTCACTTGATCCCACAGATCAAGCTATTTTTAAAATAGCATGAGGCTCAAAGTAGAAACAACTAGTTAAGCAAAACTATTATTTGATTTTAAGAAAATATTTTTGGTTTAAAATTTAAAGATTACCTTAGGGTCATAGTTTCAGAGGTTCATCTAGCCTTCATGGCTCCAGGAAATCTGGAGCTCATGAGAACTTGAAAGTCTGTTCTTCATTTCCCCCCTTTTGATCAGGATTCTTCTAAGGCATCTTTGTTAAAAAATATTTAGTAATGGTAGCAGTGCATCATCCAGTTCTTCTGGTCTATTGGCAAAGGCAGCAGTTATTCAGGGAGGCAGTAAACCAGACATTCCATATTTGCCTTCTATTTTGAGTTTTCTTCTTTCTCTGTTGTTCCAGGTGAATAAACTAATCATTAGACCAGTGTTGTTGTTGTTAAGTACCGTGGAGTCAACTCTGACTCATAGAGACCTTGTACAGGGTTTCTGAGGCTGTAAATCTTTACGGGAGCAGAAAGCTTCATCTTTCTCCTGCAGAACAGCTGGTAGTTTTGAACTGCCAACGTTTAGGTTCATAGCCCAATTCGTAATCACTACCAGGAGTAGGGGGGGCATTTTCTGCCAAAATGTATTGCCATTATTCGTGTGCCATACAATATGATCAACTTAAAGATTAGCCTGCTATATTTGGTCAAACATTTAATTAACTGACCCCTACGATGATGGCTAAGGAGCCCTGGTAGCGTAGGCATTGCGAGCTGGGCTGCTAACCACAAGGTCAACGGTTTGAATCTACCAGTTGCTCCATGGGAGAAAGATGAGGCTTTCTGCTCCCACAAAGATTTACAGTTTTGTAAACCCTATACAAGTCGCTATGAGTTGGAACTGACTCGGTGGCACACAACAATCAATGGGATGATGGCTGGAACTGCAGTTGCCTTAGTAGGACCAGGCCAAATTATTTCACAGGCCTTATATTGCCTGCAGGGCAGACGTTCCCCACCCCTGCCTTAGATAATTGCTTTTACAAGCTGTCAATTCC